GCTTGGGGGGGGCGGCCACACTGGTGGCCAGCTGCCCTGGGACGGGCAGCACCACGTCCCCACGCTGGAGGGGACACAGCCTCTCTCCAAGCAGCACAGAAAGCTGGCGAGGAGTGTGCAACGGGTCCCAGCCCCCTGCCTATGGCCTTTGTCACCCTGCCACGCATCCCCTGTCCCGTCCCCGCGGGCTGGCACGCCGCGGTGAGGGCGCAGGGACCGTTTCTGTTACCGTCAGCAGCAAGGAGGAGAGGGAGGCAGGAAATGACCCTCTGGGGACAAGTTGAATCATCTCTTTGAAGCGCCCTGGAAACCCTTGCGCAGTGTATTTGTGAGCTGCGGGCTTATCCCTGCAACGCCTGGCGAGAGCTGGCCCATCCTTCCCTCCCGCCGGCACACGGGAGTATGAAAACCCAAAGGTGGGGAGCCGGTGGGTGATGCACCCCCTTTGCACCCCCCTGCCACCGCTAAGCGACTGCCCACGGTGACGCAGTTTCAGGTTGAACTATGTGGGCAAGAGGGAAGGTGGTTCCTTTCTTGTCCCTGGCAGATGTTAAAAGATGTTTCCACTGACTAAAAACCCACTGAACTGTTTTGCACCTGCCTGGAAATGTGAAAATGCTCTTTGAAAAATAAGGTTTTTCTATCAAAAATTGAGGCGACCGCTCCCATCACCTCCTCGGTCCAACAGCTTCCCGGAGGCAGAGGCTGGAGCATCTCTGCCAGCGGGGAGGAATCTGCCTGCAAGGCTTTTGAGAGCTGCCTGCCTTGAAAATCCTGAAGGAACTGCAGAAATGTGAAAGCTTTGCTCATAAATCTGCCCCTCTCCAGCTCTTTGCATGGAAAGCTGAAGGCAGGAACCCTCCCAGCCAGGGAAAATAAATAAATCACACACGCCATCTCCCGGCCGCTGGGCCGGGACCCAGCCCTGCTCCGAGCAGGACCTGCTTCTGCACGCTTGGTTCCTTCCCCTATTTTCAATCAAGATCCCATCCTTTTCCCATGTGATGGGGCATTTGGTCCCTTGGCACCGTGCTGCCGCAGCTGAGCACATCTACATCAAGGGACACTGGGAAAATGCTGCATCCCAGGGGCTGGGAGGCTCCTGCTCCCAGTTTGTGGAGTCCATCCTCTGAACCAGGTGGTCCAGCCGCTGGTGCAAGGGCAGGAGGACTCCGGAGTGTATCAGCTCTGAACTGGCCTCACTGGTGTGGAGATGGACCCAGGCTTGTGTGGACCGCTCTCAGGGAAGCCTCCCAAGCCCGGGTGACATCTCTCCGGCAGCTACAGAAGGGCAGCAGCCTCCAGGCTCCGATGAGCTGCCAGGACTTGTCTGGGAATGATGGATGCTCGTCCTGTCCCCGGGAAAAGGTGCTTTGCTCACCGAGACCAGCCAGCCTGCTGCATCCAGAGCGGGCGCCTCTTCCCGGGAAGGGCAAGCCTGGAAAGGAAGGAGGGAAGACGAGGAAAAACAACAGCCGAGATCTCTTCCTGGGGCAAAGGATGCAGCTTTTCCCAGGGCTCATTTAGCAGAGCCTAGGTGGATGCCGGGCCCTGGGAGGAGGCAGGTGTTTGCAAGGATTTGCTGGATTTGGAGGAGCAGGTTCTCCCGGGAGGTCGGGGTGGGCCAAGCTCACGTCCCGGTGAGCCGGTGCCAGCGCACCCTGAGCTGGCACAGCACCACGAGGGGAGGCCCTGGGGCTACCGAAACGTACTGGGTTTATGAAGGGGTGAGGCTCCTGCACCCTGCGCAGTCTCAGGAAGGGGGGGATTTCACCTTTTTTATCCTGGCTATTGCACCTTTGTCAGCACCTTCTTTCTCCTGCCATAACGTCGGGGATTACAGAGCAAGGAGTGCGATTCCTGCCCAGGCTGGTGGTCTGCCAGCAGATTTCCCTGGTAGGAAGATCAATATTAAGCAGGATTTGTCCGGAGGCTAAGCAAATTTCTCGGTGGGGCATTAAGACACAAAAGCAAGTGAATGACAAGAAACTGAACTTTTTTTCATTACACACGAGCGTTTCTAATCGGGACCTTCTCCTAGTATTGACAACATCAGCAGGGCTAAAGGCATTTTTTTAGTGGGCAAGACTGGAGATAAGACAACTATTAATCTCTAATTTCCATGCAGAAAAACAACCTGAGTGCCAAGCTGACTGAACAGGAGCAGGAGCCAAGAGCAGCAGGTTTCCCGTGCAGAGGGGACGTGCGCTTGCTAGCTCTGCGCCCGGGAGCCTGCGACGCGCTCCCCGGGCTGCTGAGGTCCCGGGACTCCGCGTGCTGTACAAACGCTGGCAAGTTAGACCGTCAGCTAAAATGAAAAACCAACAACTTACGAACTCATCAGGCTGAAATAAGAGCTGGCTCGCAGCGGTGCTTGCGGGTGACGAGTGGCTGCGCCGAGCCTTTCTTCGTGCTCTGCACTTGGCACAGACACAAGCCTGGAGTGAAGGGATCCAAACGTCTCACAGAAGGGCTGGTTTTCACGTGTTAAAGTGTTTATCTCAAAGCAGTCGAGCCCGACACTTTTTCAGTGACATCCAACAACCAGTGGAGGCCAGTGCTGATCCAAAGCCCCATACCTATAAAATACCCCCCTGCTCCCCGAGCTTTCCAGCGGGTATCTGTCAGGGCCACGATCATTTCCCATTACAAATTCAGGTTGGATCAGCACCCCCTCCCCCCATGCAGCAAGGCAAATTTGGCCTCTGCTCAAAGCTCCCGCGGCATTTTGAGGAAGGAGGGCTTTCTGTGTAATGCTTTTTCTGTAGGAAAAAGCTGCTGCAAGCGACCTTGCAGCTCCTAAAGGAGAAGGCCAGAAACTCAAAAGGAGAGGCAAACGCCTTCTCTGCCTTGCTTTGCAATGGGAAGACAGAACAAGGGCCGGTAAGGCAGCCGGGATGGAGCCCTCCTGCCTCTCTGCCCTCAGCTGGCACAGCGGGTCACCCGGCACGGCGGGGCACCCGACACAGTGGGTCTCCCGGCACCATGGGTCACCCGGCATGGTGGGTCACCCAGCACCGCGGGTCACCCAGCACGCCACCCCACGTGACGGGGTTGATATCTGAGATTGCAGTAGCTCCCGTTAGAGGAACCGGAGCAGAGTTACAGGGACTATTTTTTCATGCTGTAATTTCACTCCACGGAGTAACCTAACCTGGAGGCAGCCATGACTCGAAGCTTGCCCCATGGGTCACCCGGCATGGTGGGTCACCCAGCACCGCGGGTCACCCAGCACGCCACCCCACGTGACGGGGTTGATATCTGAGATTGCAGTAGCTCCCGTTAGAGGAACCGGAGCAGAGTTACAGGGACTATTTTTTCATGCTGTAATTTCACTCCACGGAGTAACCTAACCTGGAGGCAGCCATGACTCGAAGCTTGCCGAGCATCCTTGACCTCACAGCTGTGTTTTCTCCGCAGCGCTTTGCAGGCATATAGAGATGCAATGGAGGTAGAGTCCAGCACATACACTGACTTTATTTCCTGCGATCGGGCTGGTCGGAGGAATGCTGTCCACGACATCCAACGAGATGCAACCACCATCAGCATGCGCAAGCTGACTGAGGACCTAGGTGACCTCGCCGTTGAAGGAGCAGGTGAGCTGCCGCAGATACCAGTAAGCCCAGCTCCTGGCAGCCAGGCTGGAAGGGCAAGGCCCCAGATGGCAGTGCAGCTAAGCAGTGCTGTCTCTGGGAGCATCACACAGATGCTCAGGAGGAACGTCCCATTCCACGCTGCGGTCAGTGCCTTCCTGCTCGGTGGGCGCTCAGCCAGCGGGAGACTCCCTGGGCTGAGGGGCTCTGGCAACCAATGGGGTGGTCGCGGCGTTCTCGGCACAGGAGCCCTGCACGCTCCAGCCAAGGCCCTTTGCTCGGCTGGTTTGCAGAAGCACTGGTGCTCAGACAGGACCCGGACTGACCAACAGCCTTCCCGGGGCAAACTACACATCAGATTTATCTTAGGCTTTATAAAAATCAAGTGTGGGATGGGTCGTGGTTTGCTTTTTCTTTGTTGGTGTTTGTTTTTTTTTTTTTTAAATCAGCCTTCGAATAGTTCCATGATATTTTAAATAACAACAGAAATAATTCTAAACACACCAGCTATCTCCAAATCTTCCCCCATAGCCCAAGCACGGCAGCAGTATCACCCTGCTCAACACATGCCAACCAGCCAGCTACAACCAGCACAAATCCCCCGTTCGAGCCCAAGCACACCAGCCAGTCTGACCTCACTAATAAGCCACAAATCATACAGCACTACCGCAGGCGATAAACCGTTTTTTCGCCCTTTCTCTTTTACTCCTCCAACCTACGATCTGTAACTACAAAAATACTTTAAAGCACGTTACCCCAACACGTCCATAACAGCGCGTGTCCGTAACAAGCACAACTTGGAGCTCTTCTGACAGAGAGTGCCGCAGGTAGGTGCCGGGCTGGGGCGGCCGTTCCTGGAGCTCGTGCAGGTGAGACGAGGAGAGCACATCCCAGCCCCGGGGCTCCCTCCCAGCATCACCAGCTGTGTTGAGAAGCGTTTGTACTCCAGGAACGTGAAGGGAGAACCCAATACTCTGAAGTCAAATATCTGGCAGCAGGAGGGTAGTGATAAATCTTCAGGTGGCGATCTGAATAAAATCAGCAATAGTAATTACTGATCACTTGTGTCCTCAGCAGAGCATAACCGTGCTTTCTTCCCGATCCTCCCCTCTGCAGAAAGCCAAAGAGATGCCACTTCTTCTGAGAACGACCCCGGAGCAAGACCAAAGGGGCAAGAAAACAGCCCCTCGCCATGACAGTGTACAGGGGGTGGGATGGGCAGGAGGAGGGCCTTGGTGTGACCATTACACAAGAATTTGCTATTGAATCTGCGGACGAAAGCTAACCTGGAACAGCAAGTTGTCTGTCAAATGCCTCTGCTGCAACCATTTTTGTTTAGAGAGCCACAAGATGCTGTGCAAGGACTGGCACCTCCAAAAGACTTCTGCTCCCATCCCTAACAATTTAGAGCAACGCTGCCGTGGCTGTAGTGATATGAGCCATTCTCCAGATGCCTTAGCTGCAATTTTCCCCTAGGGGAAAAAAACCGATTTCAGTAATAATAGACACATCAGACTTTCCTGTCCAAGGTACCTTCCTCCTTTGCAAATTTCGACTATTATTTATTCTGTTTCCATAGATTAGAAATTTAGACAATTGGTTTTTCTACGCCTCACCCTCATCTGCATCTTAGACCTGACCTGGCCCCTGGACCGTCCATGCGGCCCCTGGTCAGGGTGGGCAGGGGAAGGGACCCGGCCGTCCCGCTGCCTTCGTGTTGAGCACCACTCACCTGCGCTGCTGCCGCTTAGCATCAGGAAAGGACCAAAGCACAGCTCCGTACGGACGAGCTCCGCCTACAGACCCAGCAGCACCAGCCACAGGCATCTTTTTCTTTGGGTTTTAGCATTTTAAGATATTGTTAAGGGGAGGGGAGAAACATTTTGCTGGTTTGACTGTTGAAATTCAGGCTTAACTTTGCAAGCTGTTAGTTGAGATGATCTCTGGTAGGATCTCACACCATTCTCTCTTTTAGGAGACATGTTTTGTGTTAAAGATGGTTTGATAAAACTATATAAGCTGTTGGAATAAATAACACAGCCTTCAAGTACTGAAGGTGTTTTTTTCTGCCTGGATGTTTCTTCTTCCTCTGTTTTGCCTTGTAGCTGGTTGAGCTGCAGGGTGGTTACACCAGCTTCCCCTAACAGGGAGATGTCTGACAAGAGGGTCCCTGCCGCGTGGGTCTGTGAAGCCCCACGGGTTTGCAGCATCCAGGTGGAAGCAGATGGGGTCGGGCACAGAAAAGGCTCAAAGTCTGCCCCCGCCTTCCCAGGTTTGCTGCCAGGCAGCGCTTTTCCCACGGGTGTTTCATACCCTGGAGGTATTTAAAAGCCGGGGAGATGTGGTGCTTAGGGACATGGTTTAGTGGTGGGCTTGGCAGTGCTGGGTTAACGGTTGGACTCGATGATCTTAAAGGTCTTTTCCAACCGAAATGATTCCATGATCCTACGATCCCCCGTGGGAGCGCTGCTCCCCTCCCCGTTACTACCCCCGAAGCCAAGCACAAGGTTGGCTTGGGGCTTGGCGGAGTGGCCCAGACCCCAGCAGAAGAGGCGCCGGTGGGCAGAGGCATCTTCCCTCTGCAGCACAGAGCTACGAGGCCATCGCTGGCGTTTCACCCGGCCCAGGCAGAGCCGATCCAGCCAGAGCTGCGGGAGGCAGCCACAGCCCGGCTTGGATCAATGTTCGGGGCAGGGCCAAGGCAGAGCTCAGAAATACTCCCCGCTGGTGACACAAGGACAAGCATCACCCTGACAGCCTAGGGAAGAACCGTATGTTACAAGTTTGCGATTTATCAGAGAAAACAAGACCAGAAATAAGCAGAGAAGCAGCTGGCAGACAGAGGGACAATTGTCTGTGGGCCTCTGGAAAGCGATGGCCATGGGGCCGGGACAGAGATGGCCACGGCTCCAGCCCCCACAGGAAACAAGGATTTGGCAGCCAGGTAGCGGCTGCATCTGCTGCTTTGGCAGCTGCAGCCCAGCTCGGCTCCTGGCACTGCCTGGATACTATTGCAGCTCTGTGCCCGGACGGCGGCCAAGAGCCTGCTCCCCTTTCCCTGTGCTTGGGGGCAAAACAGCAGGTAGCTCCTGGGCTTCGCTGACCGCACGGTTGGGTCTTTAACCCCATTTCCAGCTCTCCTCCCTGCCACTGCGCGGTATTTTTGGCTCACGCTGGCACACACAAAGCAAGCTGAAAGGCAACGCAGAGGGACTGCGCACCACGCAAGACCTCCAGCAGTCAAACATGGGCTAATCTTAGGTCTCCCTGGTCAGAAAATATCTGTTCCAGAACTATATTTAGGCAGATGCTTGGGGACCCGTCGGCCAGCTCCCCTCAGAGGACAGGCGAGAGGCATCAGGTTCCCCTGCAAGCGAAAGAGCCAGGTCAGCTGCTGTCGCCGATTGTGCTGAAAGACCAAGGGCACTGGCTTAATCCAGCCGCATCCTGACTTGCAAAGCTGCTGAGCACACGGATGCTCCGAGCCCTTCATTTCGGTTGAACACGGGGGCACGCCGGACCTCCCGAAACTCTAACTGAGCGCTAAACGATCAGAAAGTCTTTCAGCAAACGCAGCCCTGGCCTGAGCAGTCCAACAGGCAGGCAGCCCGGGCCGCACCACTTCTGGCTCTTAGCATCAACTGACTGCGCAAAACTCAGGACACGCGGGGGGAAAATACTGTAAACTCCTTTTGATACGTGCTTGAAAAAGTGAGAGCGCGCAGTGATGGTGCTGCCGCTTCTAGCGGTGAGATACGTGTCCCTTTGATCACCGAAGGGAAAAGGACATGTGAGGTTGGAACAACCTGCAGCCATAAATCCCACTTGCCTGTCTAGCAAGGGAGCAGGGGCACCCTCCCTCCGGTTGCCCTGCGTTAGCTTTCAGAGCGCTCCAAGCTGGCAACAGAAGGCAGGAATCGGGCTACCGAGGCCCCCGGCACACCTACGATCAACCCTCGTGCTCTGGCAGGGCTACGATGGCTCACGTCGTGGCCCACGGATCCCAACAGTCTCCCTTGAACAGAAAGGCGAGAGGATTTATCTTTTAATATAAATTTGTTATTTTATTAAACAGGATTAACAATCAACTGTCCAGAATCCAAACAAGCAACTCTTCTTCAGAAACAATTTTTGCTGAAAAATTACCCAAAAAAGCCTGGTTCTTACTGCAATCATGTTCTTAAAAGTGATGCTTTATCATTTGCTTTATAAAAGTAAGAAACTCACTCTATCATATCCGTCTACCTAGCTATATACATATATATATTTATATATATATAGGTGTATATATGCACCATGTACTTCAGAGATTAGTTTTTTACTCAGAAGACAAATATGGAAGCCCAGCAAGAATGGAAATACTCCCAGCACACGGTCGCTGCTGGCGGAGACCGGACCAGTCTCCCACACCGTCCACGGTAATGGCAACCACGGCCCCTTGTCCAAGGCAACTTTTTGGTACAACATCTTTGGAGTAAGCATCTTGGCAGACACCTGGGATGCTAAAGCACACCACACACTCCCGTAAGAAAATGATGGTCTCCTCTCTGGATCCATGGCTCTCTTGCATATTAGGTAAAAATACTATAATGCACCAAAATCGCTTGGGAATTTTGGTGAATATTTCTGTATAAATTCTCCACCAAACTGAAGATCTGACTTCTAGCCAGCGTTGTGGCTGAATGAGAGAAGCAATTTGGATGGGACCCGATTCAACACGTGACATTGGGCCTTAGCTTATTAATTTACTTATTCAGTTTTAATAGTGCCTAAAGATTACGTCACGTCAGGAAGAGGGCAGAATGGTTAAAACAAGCAATCAATCACGGGGTTTCCAAGTCCTAAACAAAGACAGAGGAAGAGCAAACTGCAGTTCACAGGAATTCTCCAGGATGAGTATAACACTGGGAAAAGTCCCAGAAGGCAGATTTTTGGCCCAAAATGGTAAAAACATGTTCCAACTTCCTATGCATGTGCGAGCGTGGTCATGGCCAGCTGTGAGCACAGCTGGCACCTGAGCCCAAGGTGTGCGCTTCTGCGGCAGTGACATTGGGAGGCCTGATACACGGGAGTCCTTATCCAAGAAAAGATGCCAAAAAAAGGGTATTTTTTTTTTAAATGCCCTTCAGACCTGTGCACAGGCAAGAGCACCAGCTTCCAGTTTGTTCTTGTTCCAGTCTTGTTAGTACAGGACTAACCCTGGGTAAATATAGCTGTGGCCAAGCCCTCCTACCCACACGGATGGGAATAAAGCCTCTATTTCTGAAGCGCCTGCTCACTCCCTGTCAACACTAACACACCTTTTTCCCAGAAAGGTGAAGATTAACCCAGGCCACAGTTAAAGGTGGTTATTTCTGCACTGCAGACAAGCGCTAGGCAGGTCAGGGGGGCAGGACAGATAAAGCAGGGAAAGGGGGGGGCGGAAAGCAGGGGAAGAGGGGAAAAAAAAAAAGCAGGGGAGGTTCTTTTGTTTGCATTTGCAGTACAGAATGACTGGCAGATGGAGAAGGGAGTCAGGCCAGGAGGCAGATTCAGTCTGCTTGCACAACAGCAAGATAGGAAGCTGGATATCCATTTGGAAGAGAGTTTGTTGGGGTATAGGTAGGTGTATGGGACAGCCTGATTCTGCTTAGCACTGTAAGGGTCAACACAGGGGTGCCAGTAATAGAGACCAACTCCGGGCACCTTCTCCCAGTGCTCCCGCTAGCACGGGGGAGAGTCAAGCACGCATGAAGAAGGGCCACCGCTCCACGCTGGCTCGCAGGGATGGATCACGATGCGTTGGGGACCATCCCATAGGCTTCATACAGCGTGTTCAGCAGTTCCTGCTTCTCCTTCTCAGGTAAGAAGCTGGACTGAGCTGCGTTGATGTTCTGGGGAGGTAGAGGGGGACACAAGGGAGACATTAAGACACGTCAGACATGAACACGTTGTTGCGCACATCCCAACATCTGGCTCTGAGCAGCTGCAGGCGACAGAGTGTGAAGTTTCCACTTCAAGATTTATTTCCACAGCCTCCTTTTACAGGGCAACTGCTCTGCCCATCACTAGGGACAGTCCCAAGAGGAACAAGGCAGGCACAAGTAAAGGTCTTGAAATGCTCTGGAGTTTTTAGGACATGTGCTTTAGACCCGCTCCTACACTCCCAGCTCTGCTTTGGGCTCTTGCCTCTCCCGGCACGGTGGTGGTGCCAGCCTGATGCGCAATTTAACCTGCCCGTCCGTCTCGTGCAGGGACTTCTCTCTGATTACACAGGGACAACCTGGCTTTTGCAAGAGCAGCAGAGGGCAGCTGGCAGCAGAACAGCCGCAGGTCCAGGATCCCAGAGCTGAGAACTGTCCTTGTTCCCCCTTCCAGACCCAGAAAGTAGGAGAAAGGGACTTGTTCCTCCAGCCAGTGCAGAGAGCAGGACTGATGCTCTCTTGCAAAGTGCATCCTGCACTTCCCAATCCAAGCAAGTATCTCTGGAGACACATCAGGGAAAGTGCTGGGCACGACTCTCAGTGCAAACCAGGAAAGGTTCGCTTGGTAACCAGCTGAGTCAGACTCCCAACAGTTATCCTGTCTTTCTGTCTTGGGTAAGTAATTAGAAAATCAACGATTAAAGCCAGTTTTCAAGATGTAATCAAGACACACAAATGACTGTGTGCCAAAACTGAAGCCAGCAGGCACTTTGTTTCCAGCGCAGTTGTTGCACACTCATGTTACACGTGCAAAAACTGCAAGCGCTTTTGTAGCTGCTGAATCTCACTAACTTTTGGGCCAGGTCCTGAAATAACCTACACATAATTTGAAATCCAGGGGGGGAAAAAAAAAAGCAAGAGGCACCTTCCTTCCTACTCAGATCTTTGGTGGGCAATTCCCACTCCGACCTGTTCCCCGTAAAGCCCCGAGCAGTCAGCCCATGCGACGCAGCCCCTGCAGAGCCACCCTGCTCTCGGATCCCCCGGCTCCCCGCATCCCCCTCCAGCCAGCTCCGCCGCCCTCCTCGGCCTCGTGCTTACAAGGCCAGCACAGGGTTTTCCGATTTCCATCGAAAACTCTTCAGCTTATAAAGAAAACCAGCAGGTTGTTCTGGGCTGCACTGGGACATCGGCAGAGCATCCAGCCGAGGCCAACTTACCACTCTCTTGAACTCCTCTTCAGTGAAGCCCATGTAGTCCTTCACTATGCTGTAATCCTTGTCGATATTGGAGTTAAAGATGAGGGGGTCATCCGTGTTTATGGAATAGTTAGCGCGATCCTTCCTAAATCTGTAAGGAAATCCAGTTGAACTGATGGGTAACACATGGGAACAGCCTGCCCAGGGCAGTGGTGCCGTCACAGTCCCTGGAAGCGTTCAAAAAACGTGTGGATGTGGTGCTGAGGGACATGGTTTAGAGGGGGACCAGGCAGCCAGGTTAACGGTTGGGCTCGATGATCTCAGAGGTCTTTTCCAACCTTAACGATTCTATGAAAACACTGGATATGGCACCGGTCATGCACTTCTCAGGGTGAAACACAGCAAAAGCAAAGACCTCGCCGCTGTCCCTGCAGCTTGCATCGCTGGGCACAAACACAGGGCTTGGCTTGTCTCACCCGCACCGCTCTGCTTCGCCAGTGGAGAGAGCAGAGCATCGGCGTGTCTCTTGCTCAGAGGTTCAGCAACCTCAGCTCTCACCCACAAACTAGGGCTAATGGCCAGCGTGCAGCATCTCCTGGCCCACAGCTCAGAGCAGGGGCCGGAGCGACAGGACAGCCTCCCCGAGGGACCCCCACATCCCTCCGGCTGCACCGGGCCCCTCTGTGCCAAAGGGCGAGGATGTACCACATTCTCCTAAGTGGTTAGATGTGCATTACCTTTGTAAAGCAATAAAGCAGCTATAATCAACCCAAACCCTGGTTATTTAAAATTACACATCATAGAGAAGTCTTACTGTGCTACTGGGTGTTTCCCAAAGTCCGGAAGACATGCTCCAGTGAGATAGCTGGACCAAGGGCAGACCTGTTTGGGGGAGTTAAACACGAAAATCAGAATCAGCCACGCAGATCCGAACCCCAGCTGCATACACAGATAGCTAAGCACGCTGGAAAAGCCAGATACAGGTTTAGAGCTTTGTTCGCAGCTGCCCCTCCGCGCTACCCCGATGGACCGGTGCACGTCCCGGGACACGGATGCGAAGAGCCCCCAGCCCGCGTGACAGTGGCAGGAGCTGGTGGGGTATTTCCCGTGGCCAGTAAAGCCACCAGCCGCGTATCCACCGCAGTTAAGAAACCACTGGCATTAAGTATATACATATATATTCCCTATATAAGTTGGATAGACCCATTCTGGGGAAAAGCCAAGGAAATGTGCCCATGCACAGTAACTCCAGGCACTTCCACCCGCCACCCAGACAGGCTCCGGTACAGCAGCCCGCTTTGCAGGAGGTTTGAGGTATATAAATTAGTGAACAAGCTGCACAAAATTTATCCTCAGCCAGAAATTTCTCTCTCAGCTCAGAGATCCATTTCTCTCTGCCACACACCTGCAAGCTGCTGTGCTTGCAGCAAAGACCCCAGCACACAGCCAGGGGTCACCACCATTTTTGCTGTGGAGCTTTGGTGATCCAGGTTCAACGGTAACGTCACCATATGCGTGGCCAGCGCCTGGGTGTCACGTCGTGACACAGCCCAAGCGAGGGCTGATTTTCCTCTCAGAAAGCAGCTACCTGGCTGTCACCCTCCCACCACACATCCTTACCTCAAAATGCATCTTTGCTCTCAGCAGCTCCTTGTAGAGGTCGGGGTCCTCCAGGACATGGTAGCCATGGCCAATGCGCTCAGCCTTCAGGAGATAAACTGCCTAGGGAGCACAGGGGAACGGCGTACAGCCTCCGAGCACCAGCTCGGCTCCTGCCTGCCCAGAGATCCCTGCCCTGCCACGGGTGCAGCCCGTGCCATGGAGCCGCTCCGGGGAGAGCCTTGTCTAAGCCCTCGGGGCCAGATCTCTGCCTGGGTCCCTGATGTTTGCTCTGCTATGAATATGGAGAGGACTTGGGCTCCTCTCTCCCCGGTGCAGGGGATGCAGGGGCACTTCCCACCCCTGCCCCGAGCCGGGAGCTCCTCGTACCTCCTTGATCCTGGCAGGCGGGCCGGCCTCCCCAGCATGGACGGTACGATGAATCCCGCATCTTTCAGCTTCCTGCAATGCAAGGGAGGACACGCTCCTGTCCCATCACCCCCAGCAAGGTCAGCAAAGCCCTGGGCCGGCACCACTCGCGGGGGCACAGCAAGCAACAGGGCTCTGCGTGAAAAGCCCCCAAACCACAAGCCCCGTACCCCAAGAGCTGCACTCTCCGCTGTAGCCCAGGCTGTGAGAGAAGAGCTTGGTAATGCCAGAAGCAGAGAAACTTAGAACACCTGGTTACCTTCCCCTGGAGCCCAGCCAGACTCCTCCAGGGTCTTTTAATACCGGGCAAGCTCACCACTGCCTCCTCTCCAGACAGCAGCAAGCTGGAAGCTCGCCCTCCTCCACCCACTCGCCCTTCTGCACGAGCCTCGCAGCAATTCCTGTCTTTGAAACTTCTACCTTTTTGGCCGGCTGCCGCCAAGTGCGAGAAGTTAAAAGCCCCCAGGGCAGAGGTGTATCGATGCTCAGACACCCAGCACCTCCCTCCCGTGAGGGGCTGGGGATGGAGGCAGCCCCGCCGGGGGGACCCTGCGGGTGCAGCTCTGGGCGGCGTTTCGAGACGCTCTCCATGATCATCCCAAAAAATCCCTTGCCAGGGCGGCCACAGGCCACCTGGGCTTTGGGAAGCCAGGCAGCCTCGAGGGGAGCCTGGCTCCTGCCTTGCTGGAGAAGGGCCACGCCGCCGGCGGCGGCGGGCAGGCTGCAAGCCCCATCCTGCAGCAGACACTCTTCCCGGGCACTCCTTCAGCGCTTTTCACTCATGATTTTTTTTTCAGTTACTTAATTTTCAGCTCCTCATGTGCTGCACACCCAGGCCCAGCAAAGGTCGGGTTAGGCTCTGCCTGGGATGTCGACAGAAGACCCCCACGCGCATCGACCTGACAGGCACTCTGTGCTCCCTGCATTTAAGTGAGTGTTGATTTTTCCCAAACAGCTAATTTTTGACACTTTTTAAGAAAACAAAATCCCTCTGGCTGAAGTACCAGACCAAGAAGAGAGACACGCTCACACCAGCACAGAGATTTTCCACTTGTTTCTACACAGGATGAAGAGAAACCAGAAACACTCACCCCCCGTCCCAAGACAGGCATCCCCAGCTATCCCAGCAGGAGCCGGGGACACAAGCAGCGGGGTCAGGAAGAGCAGTGCACTGGGACCCCTCCCCGCTAACCCTCCTGGCTGCCGAAGCCTGAGCCCCTCCACCCCGGGGGGAGCTCGCGTCTAACGTCCGTCCATGGGCATATCTTCCCTGGAGTGCTTTAATCCCTTTTTCAACCCATTTGTCCGAGGACACATGGTGCTTCCCTTGGCTTCTCCTCAAGGATCCCTGCTTCCTTGGATATGGTGGTCCTAGGATCCTTGGCTCTACACTTCCCAGTGCTCCTCCGCAGCCAGCAGCCAGTCGAGTTTTTGCCGTTATCTGCTCTTTCCCCTCCAGCAGCCCCGAGAGCTCCCAGGCAGAAGGTGCCCACCCAAGGGACATCACAAGTCTCTCCAGTTTCCCTGGATGCATTACGTACCCCACGGAGCGTCGCAGCAGTATTCATGGGGATGCACCTCCCTGCCACACAGGCCAAGAGGGGCCGACGGACGGGAGCGGGATTTGCTTCAGCATCGCCGAGCCTGACCAAGCCCCCGGCGCAGCGACAAGCCGCATCTTCAGGCGGAGGAGCCCGGCCCTGGGTACTGCTGGCACGCCAGGGCAGGATGAGACGCGCCTGCCCGTCAGGTAATAAAACCCTGTGCCCACACCTCAGTTTATAACCACTCGGTTCCTCCAGCGTGGCACAGCAGCACAGGCGGACCTTGCATCGGGGGCAAAGACGCCGAGAAAGCCCCACGTCGTTTCAGCCCCGAGCGCCACTTGCAAACCACCGTCCTTTTTGGCAGCGATGGTGCACAACCTCCTCTCCCACCGATGGAGGGGACCAAACTCCCACCAGCAAAGAGGAGCGAGGCGCGAAGCCTCCCCTTTGAGCCGCTGCAAAGCGCTGAGGTCTAGCGAGAATCTGGGATCAGGCTCCTGACGCCATTCCAGCATTTGCGTTTGAGAAAATCAGATAAAAGCACTTCAAATGTGCAGCTTCTTCTCTGCTCCTTGGGTGATTTCTGCCAGACTGGAAAGGCCAGTCTCTTCCACCCTCGGCCGTGGTTTCACCAAGCCCCCGGAGCAGACCCCCGGCGGCAGCATCAGGGAGCTGCCGGGGGGACACGGGCTCCACGTCCCTCGTGTCACACGCGGTGCTACGGGGCAGCGGGCCGAGCTCCAGCTCTAAGGCCATGTTTAAGCAATGATGCCTGCCATTAATCAGTTAGGAAATATAAACAAATACTTTTGCTATTTAACAGAACGTTTTTAATAGCTGCAATGAATTTTTAAGCTGTCCCAGATGTTTGCAGTCTGAATAACATACTGCGTGTCCCCTCATGCACGTCCCCTCAATATACGTTTTTCTCATCATTTCTTTTAAGAAGCTTATTAAACAAACCTCGTAAGCCTTCCTATGCTCGGAGGAGTTCTCCACCTTCAGGGACTCATCCCCAGCCAGGTCGATGGCCACCACAGAGTTGTTTCGATACTTCTTGCAGAGCTCCACCACCTCCGGAGACCAGCCTGGAAGAGACAGCACCAGGGTTCAGGAGAAAGCACCGGTAAGAGTCGCACCTTCAGCATTTCTCTAAACAAATCCTGGTCATATAACTAGAAGGCTAGAGCTATTTTCTTTGGTCTTTCCTAAAATTTGGCGTTCAAAAAGAAAGCTAACAGACTTCTAGAAAGGTCTGCCATCTTCAGGCAAATAAAAGCTGCCAACTGACGAGTCCATCGTCAATCAAAGGGAAATCAAATGCATTTAGCAGCTATAAAGCTGCTCTCGTCATGTTTTTCTGCTCACTTTCAAGCAGGGGAAAATAAAGAAAAAGAAAAAAGAAAATAGAAAAACCCTCCAAACACGGTGCTGACTGCAGTTGGCCCAAGGTAAGCTGACCTGCACAGCCCAGGTGCTGTGGGAGAAATCCCTCAAGTCGCTCCTCAGCGTTCACCCCACGCCAGGCCGGGCGAGGGGGAGGAAAGGGAAGAACCGGCCCGTCGGCCGCGTGGTGTCACGGCGGGGTTCGGGCGGGGAGGGCTCTCCGGGGGGCCCCGCGGGACAGCCAGCCCTGCCCCGCTGCAGAGCATCCTCAGCTCCCCCCGGCAAGCAGACGGACGCTACCGCCGGTGGGAAGGAGCTGGGCAGCATCCTGGAAGGCTGACCTTTACCTCTCGCACTGTTTTAGCTTTTGGGCATCAGTGAGAAAGAGAGTAACAAGTGGCAAACAACTACTTCAGAGCTCTGATCAGGATAGAGGACAACCTCTGAGAAAGGACATGCATCTACCAGCTCACGTAGCACTTACCCTTAGCAAAAAGGCCAAGAAACAGAGAAAAACGGTAGCGTTAATAAGTAACAGGCACCTGCTGTGTACATACAATCCCAAAATCATACAAATACATAAGAAAACGTGTGCAATTTCATCGTCTTTTTTCATCAGTTTCCAACTCCCTGGGTTGGAGCCATTATTTTATTAACAAGTTTAATATGAGCTAGTTCTGGCTGGCATCGCTGCCTTTCTCTCACCAGTTCATAAATTACAGGGTGGCTTTTCCCTGTGCGGCACGTCCCGAACGCAGCACTAAAGGCTCTTCTCGAGTGCATCACTGGGTACCGAGGGCGTCACTGGCTCTGGGTAAGAGCTGGTGCCCTGGGACGTGGGCACGAGAGCGCCCGCTCCGCTGTTTGCACGAGCAAGCCCTCTGGCGCACGCCACGCGTGCCCTCGGGTGCTCCGCCGCCTTCCGCCTGCACCACGTGTGCGTTGGCAGGGTCAGTAACTGCAGACAAGCGTGACACTGCCCTACCGCTCTCCAGTTTCTACAAAGAAAAAAGTTTTCTTCCTAGAAACCAGAAATTTAAGGGTCAAGTTTTCAAAGTATTGTTTGGGGTTGACTGTGCAGGCAGGAAAAAAAAATCCACTCTCTTCCAAGAGTATCATTTTTCACATATCTAGACACAAATTAACTGTTGTACTCACTAGTGAAAATCTTTCGACCATCTACCCTCCTAAACCTACATAAAACTGTTGTGAGATATTAAGATTTTAATAACAAAGTCTTCCCATAGAACAGCTACTGCCATACAGCCTCGCTCCGACCGCATCTTTAAGCAGCCCAATGAAACACTGGAAATTGGGTTTTCTTCCTGTTCTGGGACACAGCACCTGTTACCGATGAAGTCTGGAGCTGCTGATCTTATAAAAAACATTTTATATAATGTGACTTAAGCATATTTTACTTGTGTTTTCAGCTTAAACCAGCAGAGACCAGCGGATTCTCTGGCTGACCCATGGTCCTGGCTAACGAAGGAGCACGCTGCTGTAGCAGCACGACCACGAGCAGGGAAGGTGCGAGATCCCACGCCTGGTCCCCCCCCGTGACTGTTCGCTCTCGGACCCACCGTACGGTCGTGGCCGATGCAACCGCTCGCTGTGGCAATGGCTTCAAGGAGCGCTCAGCCTTTGGGCAGGCAGCGAGGTGCGAGCAGAAATCGTGCCTCTCCCAGGAGACGACAGAAGGGCCCGTTTTGTCACTCTACCAAGACCCTTCAGATACCGGCTGTGCCCACAGACCCCCCCTCTTGCATCCAGCAGACCCTTTCCCCATGGTGAAGGGAGCAGAGGACCCCCCCCCAAGAAAAAAAACCTACTCCTTCTCAGCACTATCTGGTCCCGCGTCAGACCCAAGGCCGCGGGACCGGGGCTTTCCCCGCATTTCTGCGGGGACCTGAACCCAGGGGACGTCACCCCCCGCCACGCGTCAGGGAAGGGGAGCAGAGCAGCAGGGGAGCTGCAATACATTACTTGGCATATGGCGCATGCAGCATAGAATAGACCTGGCTTTGATGCGGAAATCCCTTTCTCCATCCTGTAGTCCCTGATTTACGAGGTTAACGACTTCGTCTGGAGTGAGGTCTCCCCTGCAGGGAAGAAAAGGCGTCAGCGAGAGGTCGGACACCCACCAGGGAAGCAGGCAGGAGCTGCAGGTCCAGCCCAGCGTCCCCAGGGGACACCCCATGCAAAACCCAGGCTGCCCGGGGTCCCGCTCACCTTAACATCCAGAGGAGCCCGACAAGACCGCCCAGAGCTAAAGAACACCTTTTACACCCATGCCATGCCCAGATATACAAGATGTCAGGCACAAAAGCATGCAAAGATGATAGCAAAACTTAGAAAAGCCTTGGGGACGTGGATGCCAATCCTGCCTGAGCAGAGGGACCCGCTCTTTGCCAGAGCACCTCATTAGGGCACACAACTCCCTGGGGCACAGGGGCTCAATGCCCATCACAGCACGTTTTGCAAGGGGCCACAGAGCTCAGCACTGATTTAATCAGAGGCCCACATCATAGCAGGGATGGCAGGTAAAGAAGGGATCGGATCGCCAGCCCCCTCCAATATTGCCCATCATCTCTGCCAGCTCAAATTCCCATTTTGCGGGCAGACAATTCCACATCCGAACGCTGCTTCCCCTTGCACAGAGCCTGGCTCCAGCCAGAAGGTTAAGCACAGCTGCTCCACACATGCAGAATTCGGTGCCCAAAGCAAGGGACGTTAAAACATAGCAGCACACAGAGATATTATAAGAGGAAAAATCCTGTGGATGGGGAAGAGAGGTGGAAGAGTGCCGGCGCTCGCTGCCTTGGAGGAGAGAGGAGGTTTGGTTACACCAGACGTCTCCACGCCGACCGGCCACCCGCCGGCTCCCCGGCACGGCGGGGTCACTCACTCGGTTTGGCCCCAGGGGATGGGATCCACGCGGCAGTTGGCCAGGAGGTGAGGGCTGTACCGGACCTCCACGTAGATGACGCCTTCTTTTGCTTTCGTTTCCACGAGCTCGTAGGCGATCCTCCTCACCGCCTCGCGGTCCCCCCTGCAGGGACGGCAGTGGGACCCGTCACCGGGATTCATCACCCTTGGGGCACACTGGGGACGGGCGAGGTGACCTCCAAGGCTGGGCAACGTTAGCCAAGGGGTCCTGCCAAGGGTTGAGGGAGAAGCAGCAAAAAGCAGGGTACTTACGCAATAGCAGGCATGTAGTGGTTAAACTTTTCTAGAAACTGGGTAAGTGTCAGTGGTGTTTTGTAGCTGACATGCTTCAGGAGGTCGTCAACAGTGCTTCCAGGGAGAGGAACCCCTCTTTTCCTGGAAACGAAGCCACACGTTACTGACGGGGAAGGCTATTGCATTTTTTAATCAGTCCGTTTCGTACAGCAATCGCGGCCCGAGCTGGCAGCGTTAACATCCATTTCTTCACAGAAAAGATACGGCACATGTTGTCCTTCCAAAATTGCCTTGCAGATGCAGGCCTGAATCTCAGTGGGGAGGAAGGCAATCCAAACTACAGGCAAAGCACAAGTCGAAATACAAGCCCAGACTGACCGTCAGGAACACAGCCAGAGCACATTTTAAGCTTAAGAAGGAGTTCGTCTAAAGGGGCTCTGGATTATTTCTTAGCACCTCCTAGGCCTCGCGACAGAATTGCCAAAATTCTTTAGAAAAGTTAATTTCCACTTATGCAGGCTCAAGGGCAGGAAAAATCATGGAGATGCTGCCAGGCACAGAATCACGCGCGCAGAAGTGCCGTGGCTCGTGGGTTTAATGCCAGCAGCTCCCGCGAGCGAGCCGGTTCCCGAGCAAATACCGTGGTGGTATCTTCTCTGATGGGGACACCTCCCACACAGGAGCAAACGGCAGTCCCAACCACCGCTCTCACCAAAGGGATGGAGATGGTAAAGCCCACCTGAACTCTGCCAAGGGGGAAGAAGCTGTTTGTCCCTGGAGTCCCGGGTGGGTGCAAGTGTCCCCGGTGGGGTGGCAGCCAGGCTCAAGGAGGCTGCCAGCCAGGGATGCCGCACGCTTCCCGGGCAGGCTTCGCCACCCCCGCTCCACAGGCTGTCACTCTGCCCATAAATGCCACTCTAAATTAGGAATAATAACTAGAAATTTGGTTTTAATCCTCTTTCCTGCCACAACGAATTACAGCCGATTGATGGACCTCTCTGCTAATAGAGACAAAACCCCACGGATGGCTTTAGCGTCCCGACACCAGCGGCCGTCCCGACGAGCAAGCCGCAGGGAAGCAGCCCAAAGGACCCCACTCCTGGGCCCAGTAACCATTGCTCATTCCCTGCTCGGGCAGGAAGGAAACCAGCCCTGCGCGCAGCCTTCCCATGCAATCGGTGCAGATTAAGTTGCTGGCACTCGGCAGGGGACGTTCATCACTGCCAAGGCATCAGTTTTCCTTGCCCTTTCCATGCCACCGACACATCGGCCTCTGCTCCAAGAACCGGCCTGCGTCTTCCTCCACCTGCCCAGGGAAAGTTTCCTACAGCAAAGCCATTTCCCTGACCTTCTCCACGTGCTTCCCGAAGGATTGCCTCTGCGCAGCCAGCAGCGACAGCGCTTTGGGATGATCCACAGCCCAGAGACGCCGGAGCCAGGTCTGCGATGGAGGGGGGGTCTGGCGGATCTTGCCACCACGGCTTTGGGAGCTGCCCCATCCAACCTGCCTGGTAGCTGGGAGCCTTCCCAGAGCAAAGCTGCCCCAGGGGAACGTGCTTGTGCTCGCTGGCACCTCAGCGTCCTGCCCAGAGCTACCTCCACGGGCAGCACCACGCACGCCATCCCACAGCAGAGCGGGCACCTCTCCTGGGGACGCCCAGTCCCAGGAGGGGTCTGCCACGGCTCTGAACCCTTTGGCTGGGCAGGGGGGATGCAAAGCCTGACCCAGCCCTTGCAGAATTGGAGCCAAAGCTTCTAAAACCAGCAGTTCAGCCACTGCTCAAAAGGACTTGTACATCCCAGCAGCTTCGGGTTATTTCCACGTGGTCAGCCACCAGCTGGCAAATTTATTTCCAGCTCTTTACCTTTAAAAATAGACCATGAGCAGCTTTCTGTGTGCAGGGTGAGGTCAGTAAGGCAGTCCCCTACAGCCTCCTACACTGCCTGGTGCTTTTACATTTGTGCGAGTGCTAGTTTTAGAGCCCATGAATAGCACAGCCTTGCTCCACCCGAGGGCTGGCAGCTCCGGGGATGCCAGGGCTGTTTAAAAATAAGAGGGAACTCGGCACACGCTCAGGCAACAAAGGTTTCTGCCCTAAGCAAGCGAGAGGCATGGATCCTCAGATGGCTGGTGTCTCCTGGGCTTCAGGGCTCCTATGACCCTCCTGGGGGATGACACCGGCATTTGTCCTTTGCTGGCAGCAGGGACCCAGCAGAGCCCGAAGGAGGCAGCACGACGGACTCTTCTGTCCATCGGGAGCTGTATTCCAGCCCTGCAGCCCGCCAGCGGCGCGGGCAGAGCCAGCAGGAACCCCAACTCAGCTCACTGCGCCAATGTCCTGCAGGAAATTAGATGGAAATCTCTGATCCACCTTCTGTACTGACTGTACTGCAAAATGTATGGCCACTCCCTGCGGAAAAAGCTGCTTTAGAGAGAGTATTTCCCCCTCAGATCACACTGCCTTGGCGTCTGCTGGGCTCACGCGATGCCAGAACCGCTTCCCATCCTCCTCAGAACTGATTTCCTCCCCAAAGTGCCAGAGTTGTGCCTCAGAGCTGGGGCCCGAAATCTTAAAGCTTGCCACTTTCTGGATCTGAGGCTATCTGCTGGTCTTCATTAGCTTTTTGAATAGTGACAGCTGGAAGAAGTCTTAAGTTTGTTCTGCTTCCAGCCGTGGAGCCAGGGCCTCGCACCAGTTAATCATTCACCCTGGCGCTTCCCACACGAGCTACGCTGAAGCGAGGAGATGCACGTGGGCTCTGTCAAGGAAACCACCTCTCTAAGGCGCTGCCAAGTGCTCTCCCGGGCCACCCTCACGCAAGCACGGCTCCTCGACTGCTCGCACCAGGCAGGCAGCCTAGGGTTCAAAGGTGCAGCAGCAGGGCAGGGAGGAGCACCCAAGCTGGTTTTTCCTCCCAAGGCTGCGGTACGGCACCACCACTGAGGAGACGCTCCCAGCCTGCTTTCATTTAACTTGCTTTTGCAATTAGGACCATGGAAAAGGAAAGAAGAATACACTGACTCTGCCATTTCCCAGGTACACTTCAAAGGCAGACAGCTCTGTTTATGAGACATCTTCAGTACTTTTCTCACGGTGGCTCCTCTCCGCTTGCCCGGCTGACGGGACCGATGACCACCTCGCTCACGCTCCTGCTACCGGTGCAGCCCCGCTGCAGCATCGCCCTTTGGGCCGCGCTCACGCCGTGCAGCCAGAGCACCCGTCTGCGCAGCGGCGAGACCAGCACCAGCCAGGTCTGCTGCCTGCACAGCAAGGGAGAGGGGGGCATTCCCAGCCTGCTGGCACAAGCTCCTCTCTCGGAGAACTGGGCAAGCAGAAGGCACGGGAGCAGGGACTGATGCTTTTGGACTGCAGCTCCCAGAGCTTTCTCCCCGCCACGACTCACCTGCCAAAGTGCAAGATTGTTTCTGGTCTAATGGCTCCATCCAGGTGGACATGAAGTTCGACCTGCAATAAGAGAAAGGGAAATTGGTGCAGTACTCGGAGCTCCAGCACAAGCTGAGATAGAAGCAGGTGGTGCTAACACGGGTGTAAATGCAGCCAACACAGGGACAAAGTCATGACATGAAAGCACAAAAACCTTTTTAAAACACCATCATTACAAAGTTTATTTTTCAATATCTAAGTATTATCTAAATATCTCCTTATTGCTGCTGCAGCTGACACATTTAATGGATTTTTAGAGATTTATTGTCTTTCCAATAATCTTCAGGAACTGCCCTATCCTTATCTAGCTTGTGTGGGTTGGAGTTTGGGAAGAGTGAAAGAAACCAAACCCCAAACACCTTCGCTTTCCAGCTTGCTCCTTCTTGAATTCAGCCACCCAAGAATCAATTAATTTGCTAAGAGTCATTACACAGCACCTTTGCCTTCACTTCCAAGAATCGGCTCCTGACATATTGTTAATTACTTGGTATTATCAGAGCGTACAGGCTTTCTACTCCTACGCATGGGGTCAGTCCCATGGTACAAGGTGCTGTCAAAACCAAAAAAAACAAGAGCTGCCCCGTCGAGCTGACAAGCTGGGCTCAAAATAAAACACTTCAATTTTGGCTCATTAAGAATGGGACAGTAACTCCGATCGCTTCACCCTGAAACCCTGCTGCCTGATAATGGCTGAAACAACGGGTCTCAGAGAAAGAGCCCCAGAACAGCAAAAGCAAGCTTTTTCCATCAGGCAGCTGGGGCTTTTGGAGGAACAGGACAAAAGTAATTTGGACGTCGAACTGGGAAGGAAAATATTAGCTGTAAAACATTTCAGCTAGATCTTCATCTTTCCAGAACTGTTTTCTTTTAAGCAACGGGATAGCCGACAAAATACATATTTAATTTTTTTTTTTTTTTTAATGAAACTGTGGAGCAGCAACTTAATACACAAAGCCCTTTTCCTGTGCAGATGATTGCTGCAGGATGCTGAGGGTAAGAATTGGGTGGGCTTCAGAAGAGGACTGGATGCTTGCATGGACAACTAAACCGCCCAGGGTTACTAATTAAAACCCACAAAGCCTCTGGCGTCAGGGCACCTATCAAGCAATAACTACATGGAGCTGGAAGAAGAATGAGTAAGCGGTCCCTACAAGCAGGGCAACGCGTAATTGTCCACCTCAAGGTCCTTTCGCTCTCCTCCGAAGCATCCACGAGCAGCTGACGTGAGCTCAACGGCGCTGGCCCAGCCCCCGGTGCAGGGCTGGCAATGCCCAGCTCTGGGACCAGTGCCAATGCCCACGGGCTCGCTCCCATCCCCACCTCCTCCCACAGCCCTAGACGCCTGCCACGCAGGTAGGGACACCCATCTTCTGACTCAGTCAGGGTTTTCATTGACCGCTTCTGCTGCAAAAGGGCATCGTTGCTGTGGCGGGACAGGGCTCGGGTTCGGGCCACCTGGCCATGAAGCCACTGAAATGGGCGCTGGTGAGATGCAAAATGCAGGTGCCAGGCTCAGGGAAGCTTGAGCTACTGACCCTGCACCGTTGCAATCAGCTGGCCCAGGGGTCATGGCTATCCCCACAGACACCACCGCGAGCAGGTTGTAAAAAGATATCCCTGTCACTTCTCCTACCCGTAAGACACGATCTGAATCTACAGGGGTGAAGATTTTAAAAGGGCAGAACCTGATCTTTTCCCCCACCTCAAGTTATGCAATCCTGCTTATGAGGACTAAATGTCCCGAGAAGCAGCAGATAAAATAACAGACTACGGACATGATCTGCATTGCCAGATGTGGACGCCTGGCACGTTTTCCACTCTTGAGCTCTGATTCCTATTTCAAAACCAGGCAAGCTCCATTCCTTGAGGTTTTCAACAGCCCTTGTGACTTTCTGATGGAGTTACAGGCTTGAAACTCGCTCATGCTGGATATAAAAACCAAGCAACCCGAACCTACTGAGGTCTTCTCACTCCAAACAGTTCTCAAGCATTTCCTGCAAGAACATCCCAACATGACACTTCCATCAATGCGAAAGCGGTGGCCTTCATCTTTGCAAGCCACCTCCTTCTGCCACTACTGCAGGTGAGATGCTTGCAAAGCAGCAAGGTTCCTCTCTGACACCAGTAACGGGCTCTTCCTCCCCTGCCGTGCATTTCTTTGGGTCTGGAGGAACCTAAACTAAGTGATAAGAAATGCTTGTGCAATCCTGCTCAACCCAAAAAGTTGTGGGGTTCCTCAAGATCAGTGCTTGGCAGGGTTGCTCTCTGCAGCTGAGAACTAATCTATGCTATTCAGATTACCAAAGGACATTCAAGTGAAGAAGTAAAGGTGTGTCTACAAGGGTCTCCACCAAGAGCGGGCCCTAGATAAGGATGCAATCAGCAGAGGCAGAACCGAGCAGCTCAGCTCCCCCAGGTGCCTTGCTCGCAAAGCCCGCGGGTTTCCAGGTCCGTGGGAGGCTGCTCGCTGCAGATTACACTCCGGCTCTCTTCCTGCCTGTTTGTTTTGGGTAAACAAAGCCCAAGCCTTTTCCAGATACAAGTGGGTGACATGACCTTGCTTTAAGTCAAGGAAAGTACCCAGATAAAGATGAAAGAGTTTTCTCTGAACTGTGGCTCCAGGAGACGATGCCTGAGCAAGCAGAACTAAGGTGAACGCCCAGCGCCTCTTCCAGGGCTCTGCTCCTCGGCACACAGAGGTCCACGCACACGTGGTCTCCCACCCCAAGCCCTCCAGTTTCTTTGGAGGGGAAGCCTGCACACACAGATCAAATAGGGATCTTGACACTTGGTCCAGGACCCCAACGGCACCGTGGGCTGCACAGCACTGGAGCCTTCAGCCACGCCAGGACCAGCGATGCCTGCCTTCCTCACAGCAAACCTGGACGTGGTAACGTTTGTTCTGATGAAGAACGAGAAAGCAGCGGAGCTCTCAAACGCTTTCCTGGGGCAGGAGCGCTGCTCGTCCCCCAGCTGCAGCGAGGACCCTCAGGACCGCCTTTGGCAGGGGCTCGGCACGGCGCGGCCACCCGTCAGCCCTGCTTCTGCACCTCCACGCCGCTGCAGCTGAGAGCGCGGTCGCTGACCGCCGGCCAGCGCACCGAAAAAACCATAGTGCAATTCAGTAAAATCGCCGAGTTTTACTGAAGAGTTGTCAAAAGCCAGAGGGATGAGTTCGAAAGACAAAACTGGCCATGAATTGTGCGGCCTCAGCACAGACCACCCCCAGCAAGGCTGCTGGAGCAAACCAAGCGCTTTCCATTTTTGTGCCAAAAAAGTTTTAGCTCAACCACAGCACGTGGCTCGTTAGCACAGATATCAGCGAGGCGGTTCAGATGTAAAAAAAAAAAAAAAAAAAGAAGTTTTAAGGGCTCTGGCTTGACTTTTCTCTTCTGAAAATACTGTAATGTTGTCTTTGAAACTTAATAAGCTTCAAAAATAAACCCAAACACCAAATGAGGTACTGCAAACAAGTATGTTCCGTTCAAAGATCAAGTCTGATTATTTTCAATTTAGTGAAATTAAGAGGAAGAAGTTAACCAAACATTCGAAGTATTTTCAGCTACAGCCAACCCAACAGAATTTCTCTATTACGCTAGGGTTTGCTCAGCGGACCGTGGCAGAGCAGTGAACTGCTCCGTTTGCCTCTTACGTGGCATAAAAAGTACCATCCAAGCTAAGGCACTTCAGGGAATCTCCGTATTAGGTGGTTTTAGGGTCATTTTAAATATATACCATGAACAAAGTCAGCCCTAACACCACGGCAAAAGTGACACCAACCTCGCCTTTTATTTCGACGGTTTCCAGCAGATGTTAATAGATAATCCAGGCAGCCGCTAAAGTTGCATCATTTTAAAGCCCTTAGCAGTGACTTTGCCCAGGATTATTTATCAGCAGATTAAAAGGTGAAAATTTAAAGTTCGCTTTATTAATCTCGATAACTGAAAACCAGAGTAATTACAGCTGTCCTTCGCCAATTGTTAGATAGGCGTGGCAGGAAAACATTAATGGAGAGCAAAATTCCACAAGAGGTAAGACAAATGCCAACCACTGCAAAAAGAACAACCCATGTCCCCCAAACACCGGTTTTATGAAAGCGCGCTGTCAGGAGCAAAGTCGTCCTCGTCATAAACTCACCCCAAGCGCCCATTGAGACGCAAGAGGTGAGAGCGGATCAAGAGGGACGCAAAGTGGAAGAGGCACAGTATTATCCTCAAACCTGACGACACCCGCGAATGCATTTTGGAGACAAATCTGCCGTACTCTTTAAGGTTTGAGCCTTTAAAAGAGAAATGTGGAAGACTACAAGACCCACTGCTCCACTGCAAGAAATATTCGTGCTTTCTAGAGAAGCATTCACGTGATACGTGGCTCTGGTGACCAAGGAGGGTGCTCCCGTGCTGAGGATGCTCCCATTCCTCCCAGCACCAACCACTCAGCCTCCACCGACCTCGGTACGAGGCTCCCGGTGCCGTTAATAGGTGACGGTGGCTCTGCGTCACCCTCCGGCAGCGACAGCTCCCACGGGGCGGCAGGGCCACGTCCCTCCCTCAGCCACCGCAGATCTCGCACTCGCACGTGGCTGGGACAAGGCAACGCTTCAGAGCGATAAACAGAGTCCTTGCACTTTGAGCAGCCCCAAGCCAGCCTCTTACTGCCCTCGCGTCCGAGCAGCGGAGCCGGGAAGGCTATCCGCGAGGGCGCCTGCAGAGCGGTACCGGAGGTACGAGCAGGCGCATCGCTGCCTAAGGTACGGCGCAGCTCAGCGCAGCCTCGGCGGCACCAGGCTGTGCCCCGTGCCAAGCTGGCCAGGGGTCAGGTTGTGCGCAAGAAGTGGATGAGCCGAAGAAAACGTCATCCCCGGCACACCCTCATGCACTTGCACTCCCTGCAATAAGGATCACCTTTTTAAATTATTTTTTCAGTTTGTTTGTTTGTTTGTTTGTTTGTTTGTTTGTTTGTAGTTTTGCACCCGAGGCAGATACCTGTACTCCCGGCCGGGCGCAGCCGCAGGTCTGCCCGGAGCAGGGGGAGGCTGCACTGTTCCGGGGAGCGGGACGCCCACCCAAACCCCGGTACAGCCAGCGCCCCGCAGCAGAGCGGGCACCAGGCGCTCTCCTAGCCACCGACGGGGACACACAGCTACAGCCAGTTCTGGCCAGCTCTCCCAGTTCCCAGATGCAAAGGACATGTCGGAGACAACTGCCTCCGTTTGACCAGGGACGGGCTCCGAGACGCCGTGACGCACACAGCGTGCCCCGGGAGGGCTTGCGGGAGCGCCTGCCCGACGCGACCTGAGCTCATTTGGCACAGAAGCATCCAGCGGCAGAGGTACGCCGGCTGCTGGGAAGGCGCAGGCCTGACCCCAGGAGCCCCCGTTCCCATCCTGCTCCCCGCAATGCAACTCAAGGCAGGCGGGAGAGGAGAGCCTCGTGTCCCGAAGCCCCCGAGCTGGGGCTGGCCCGCGGGGAGAGGAGCCAGCAGCGAGTGAGGACACCGTCTCTGCTCTGGTTGCGGAGCAGAGAGGGAAGAGGCTGATGGTCGGTGCCCAAGGAACGACAGTCTCTTCTGCTCTTTTATGGCCTACGATAACAGGGTTCAAAGTCGCCCTCCAGCAGCCCCAGCAGCTCCCTGTTCATCCGCTGCAGTAGCCGGGAGTCAGCGCGTTCCCGAAAAACGCGGAGGCAGCCCCGGCCCCGCGTTCAGCTGGGGCTCGAAGCTGCTCCAGTTACCAGAAACATCTCTCAAACACAAAACGGATCGTTCCCAATGGCAGAGGGTCCAGGGGAATGAATAGGGCTCATTAACTGACTTCAGACCCATTTTTTTTCCCAAGCCTGACTTAGCAGGTTCACAGGACTGAAAGGGACTGCCTGACTCAGGAAAACCAGGCTCGTAATTGCCGGCAACCAGACAACAGAAGCCTGGTCTTAGTGGTCAAACCCCGCACAGCTTTTCCTAGGTCGCTCTCTTCAGCATCACACTCTTCCACGCACTGGAAAAGTAGGAAGAAGCCCAAGCGAAAGAAGAACTTAACTTGCTTCTCTCAGCCAAACGTTTAAAACCACTGGGGTGAACCAAGAGCTTTTGTTCTTAGTGGAGCTGATGAAACGCCGACGTCTCCCAAAACTGAAGGAGCCTTGAAGAGGCTTTAACCATCAGGAGGTGTCACTGCGATTTTGGTATCGAGGTTTGCCTGCGTCATTTCCCGAGAGGAAACCTCGTGCAGCGATGGAACGGAGCGCAAATCAGACCCGTGCACACGGGCTTTTCCCAGTACGCTAGACATCGCTGGTGCGAGGTCAAAATGAGAGATAAATGGTTTGAGAGGGGTAGGAGATGCAAACAGTGGCCAAAAAAAAAACCCTTTTGGGTTTTAGGAGGCAATCTCCTCCCCTGGGAAAGCCACACGCAGCTGCCATCGCTCAGGTTCTCCCCGAGTGGGACCACCACAACCCTCACGCCACTTTTCGGGGTCTCCCCTGCCCCTCGCTGCCCACCAAGAGCCCGACCCCGACAGCAGCCAGGCAGAGAAAACCTGCTCCCCATCCGCCAGCTTCGCCAGACCGCGGCCCAGGAGCTGAGCTGTCCCGCGGCAGCGCCCGGCCACCGGACCCAGGGTTATTGCTGACCACACCTCTTTCATCTCCCTCCGCCACGACTTGTTTATAATCTGATTAATGAACATGTTACTGTACGATCCTACTTGAGATGTGTTTATGCAGCGCATGGCGAGAGCAAAAGACTGGAGCACCCTCTGACAGCAGTCACCAAGGTGGTATCTCGGGGTTCTGAGGAATAACTGAACTAAATGTTTAAGAGAAAACAGAACAAAACAAAACAAAAAAAAACGCCAAAAAATAAAACAACAAAACCAAAGCCCCAAATGAAACAAAGAAACAAACAAAAAAACAAGGGAAAACGCTTGGTTTAGCAGACCGAGGGAAGAGCTGGAGCGCTGCCCGCTCGGGGCTCCCCACCGCCCCAGCCCGGCCCTCGCCGCGGGGGTGCCCCCGGGCGGGGAGCGGGGCCGGGACCCCGGGC